AAAAAAAAAAAAAAAAAAAAAAAGCTTTTTTTAATCAATGTTGTGATTCGTATATACTTAAATAGTGTATATTTATATTGTTATATTTTTAGTAATAATAAAAATTCTAGAAATGTGGTATGTCCATTATTTAATTTAAAATTTTATACATATTTATACACATAACGTATAATATTTATTTACATTTGTCCATGCCCATAAAATAATTATTAATTTATACTCCCTCCTATTTTTTTTTAAATGTTATTCTAGCTTTATCAACTATTTACTAAATAAATGTCATTTTGGATTTTTTGTACATATTTTTCCATTATTACCCTCATTTAGCTAATAAATACATTACGTCTTTTCATATTCACTCTTCACTTAGAAAGAGAAGAGCAATGGAGGATTTTGCAGGAGGATAAAAGGGAGTGGGGTACCAACTGGTTTTTAGCTGGTGATTGGAATGACATATGTCACCCAGGGGAGAAGAGAGGTGGAGTTGAGAGACATGAGGGGAGATATGTGGGCTTTAATAATTTCATTGATAACATGGGCATGGAGGAAGTAAGGATGTAGGGATACCAGTTTACATGGGCTAATAATAGAAGAGCTGAGGACTGCGTGGAGGCAAAGGTGGATAGAGCTTTCGGTTCTTATGACTGGCACTTAGCTCATCCTAGAGTGTTCTCTTTTGCTGAAGAGAAGAGTGCTTCAGATCACTCAATCCTTATCATTGATACAGGGAAATCAGGTGACAAGAAAGGTAGAAGATTTGTTTTTTATAAGAGGTGGCTAAAGAAAGAAGGTATTGAAGAAGTAGTGGCTAATGTGTGGAGGAAGCATATGTCAGGGACTCCAATGTTTATTGTTAAAGAGAAAGTAAGAAGTACCAGGGTAGCATTACTGAAATGGAGCTCCAAGTTCAGAAGCCAGAATCAAGTAAAATTCTGGAAGTTAAACAGAAGGCTAGAAGAAGTGAAATCGAGGCCAGGGGGTGCAAAATGGGAGGACAAAGAGAGCATAAGAAGGGAATTAGATGTTGTACACTCTTTGGAGGAAAGTTTCTGGCAACAAAAAGCCAGGAATTTGTGGCTGAGAGAGGGGGACAGAAACACAAGATTTTTTCACACCATTACATCCCAAAGAAGGAGGACCAATGCAATCACAAGATTAATTTCTCAGGGGAATCAAGTTCTGCAAACACCTCAGGAGATTACAGAGCATGTCACTCAGTTCTATAACAATTTGTTCACCTCAGAAGGGACCTTGGGGGCTGACAGCATTCTAAAATTAATTCCCAGAACTATCACAGAGGAGATGAACACAGATCTGAAAAAACCAGTGTTAGAAGAGGAGGTTAAGGAAGCCCTGTTCTCAATGCATCCTGAGAAAGCTCCGGGCGAAGACGGCATGACAGCGATGTTCTACCAAAAATTCTGGAGTTTAATAAAAAATGATCTGGTGAAGGCTGTTCAAAGTTTCTTCTTATCTGGAAACATGTTGCAATACTGGAATCAAACCGTGGTCACTCTCATCCCAAAAGTTCAGTCCCCGGAGTTTCTAAGTCAATATCGCCCGATAAGTCTTTGCAGCGTTTTCTGTAAAATTTTGTCCAAAATTCTGTCTATGAGAATGAAAAATTTTCTGCACCACAGTATTAGCGAGTGTCAAGCAGCTTTTGTACAAGGCCGCCAGATTTTGGACAATGTTATAATTGCGCATGAAACTTTCCACTTCCTCAACAGACATCACACGGGTAAGAATTTCTTTATGGCGCTAAAACTCGATATGATGAAGGCGTACGACCGGGTTGAATGGCCGTCCAGCGCATAATGATGAAGATGGGTTTTAGCTTCAGATTCGTAAATTTAAATAATGGCCTGCATCTGTTCCTCTTCTTTCTCTTTCAACATAAATGGAAAAGTGCAAGGGCAGGTCAAGCCATCAAGGGGATTGCACCAAGGAGACCCATTATCTCCCTTTCTCTTTCTTATTGTCTCAGAAGTTTTTTCTGCGCTCATTTCAGAGGCCATGTCGCAAAATCAGTATTCGGGGTTAAGGCTTAACTATGGGGGACCGACGATATCGCATTTGTTATTCGCCGACGACTCTCTGCTCTTTGGTAAAGCGACTCCTTCTCAAGCTGCGAAAATTTTAAACATACTGGAGAGGTATCGGTTATTCACGGGGCAACAAGTGAATTTGGAGAAGTCGGCCGTTTTCTTTAGCAGGAATACCCCTGAGCATCTGCAGAGGGATATCTGTAAAATTTTCCAAGGCATTTCAAGGCATACATCTACTAGGTACCTCGGCCTTCCTTTGGGAATTGGGAGATCCAAGATCGAGACTTTCAATTTCATCATTGACAGAGTTAGGTCTCGATTGCTAAATTGGAAGAATAAATGGCTTTCTGTGGCTGGCAAAGAGGTCCTAATCAAGGCGGTTATAAATGCTCTTCCAGTTTATGCAATGGCCTGTTTCAGGATCCCAGTGGCCGTTTGCAAAGCAATTTCAAGTTTATGTGCTAGATTTTGGTGGCAGTCAGGAGAAGAGGATCATAAAGGAATACATTGGAAGAAATGGAGTTCTTTGACTCTTCCAAAATGCAGAGGGGGTTAGGGTTCCAGGACATTCAATTGTTTAATGAGGCCTTAATTTGTAAGCAATTGTGGAGAATTACCACTAACACAGAGCTTCTGGTAAGCAAGGTCTTGAAAAGCAAATACTTTCCCCAAACTTCAATATTGGAAGCTGAAGGTAAGCAAACAACATCTTGGCTTTGGAGAAGTTGGCTAGGGGTTCTCCCTACCTTTGCAAAGGGTCTACAGGTGGAAATTCGAAGTGGAATGCAAACAAAGATTGAAGATGTAAATTGGATCCCTTCACTTACAAAATAAAACCTGACATGCTGGAAATAGCAAGGGGGCATTTAATCTGGGTAAGAGATCTTATGAACGCTGAGGGTTCCTGTTGGAATGAATGGCTTATTAAACAGGTTTTTGGGGAGTTGGAGAGTGAGGCTATTCTGAAAATCAGAACTCTGAATCCCATTCTAGATGACAAGTGGAAATGGAAAATGGACAGGAAAGGGGTTTTTTCAGTTTCAACTTCATATGTTTACTTGATTGAACAGAAGATGCTTGCACTGGACATTCCCCAAGGAAGCAACAGAGATTCTCTTGGTCAGATGGCTAGGAACAGGTTGTGGAAATTGAAGATTAAAGGAAAAATAAAACATTTCATTTGGAAATGTTGTACAGGAACCCTCCCAGTAAAACTTAATTTGAAAAAAAGGGGAACTGATTTGGATGTGATCTGTCAGACTTGTGGTGAACATGCTGAAACAATTGAACATGTCTGTTTTTTATGCCCCAGAGCTGCTAGAGTTTGGCAACTAAGTCCAGTGAAATGGGAGGGCCGCTGTTCTGATCAAGGTAACTTCAAAAATTGGTGGAATTTCATTTGCTCAACTGGTAAGGAGGCAATTTACGAAGACAGAATCCAACTATCCACATACCTTTTGTGGTGGTTGTGGAAAACTCGCAACATGTGGTTGTTTCAGCAGGAGAAAGTTCCACAACCTATGATTATTAAGGGTGCTCTGCAAGAATGGTCTGAATTTTCTATGGCTCATGCCTCTTGATAGCTGCTCAGGTTTCTGGTTTTCTGCAGTCTTAGAGTTATCTGTAATGGTTTAGTTTGCTTCTTGTGGTCTATTTTTTTGCTTTTTGTTCTCTCTTTGGGACTGCGGGGGGGTCCTGGTTTTCAGTTGCAGTTAGGCTTTTTATTTCTCTTCTTGTGTGGTTTGTTGTTATGTTTTTCTGTTGGGTCTGTTTCTGGACTTGGCTAGGTCCTTTGTGGACAGTAGCTGGGTTTTTTAGGTTTGTTTGTAACAGAGTAGTAGGCTAAGGTTGCAGGTTGTCTTGCCTTAGCTTTGGTTTGATTGAGTCTCTAGGCCGCCTGCGTGCGTGTCCTCTCTCCTTTTAGTTTGCTTTGAGTTGGGTTGTTTCCCCCGGTTTGTATTCGAACGGTGTTCGCGGTTGTTTATTTTGCTATAATACTCCTTTCGTTTCGGAAAAAAAAAAATATTCACTCTTCACTTTATCTCAAAACATTCATCTTTATCCTCATTAAATAAGGTTATTATTGACAAAAAAAAATATTCTTAATTAGTGTGCAACTTCTCAAAACGACATATATTAAAAATAGGAGGTAGTAGTACTTTTTTACTCCACAATTAATTTATATACTATAATATTACTTTAACGTACGAGGGTGTCAAAATAGTCAACATGACCAATAATATTCCTCTCTTTCTCTCTCTCATCACTGGCACCTCCATCTTCCCTATATATAGCGCTAAAACACCTCCATTGCCCAATCATCAAAGCTTCTCTCTTACCTGTAAATACTCATTACATAATACCAAAATAAAAGAAAGAAAGACAGCAACAAAACAATCCCCCAAAAACGTCTCATTCGGAGATACGCATTTTCCCCTGTCCTCCAAGAGAGGAAAAGATGAAATCGCTTTTTCCCGCAATTTCCACCATGTTTCCATAGATCCATAGATATACCTTCATATATATATATATGCATTTGCGTGTGTTGATAATGAACATTTGATGGAACAAAAGCACGTTTTGTTGTCGGCATTGAGCGTGGGGGTCGGGGTAGGTGTGGGTCTCGGTTTGGTCTCCGGCTCAACGCTCGGCCGATGGGCCGGCGGCTCCGCCTCGGGAGGCATCTCAGCCGAGGAGATTGAGGCGGAGCTTGTGAGGTTGGTTGCTGATGGCAACAATAGCAAGGTTACGTTTGAGGATTTCCCGTACTATCTCAGGTAAATAAAGTGGAGGAATTCTCTATATTGAGAAAAATAGGGGGGCCTTTTTGTGATTTTTATAATTTTTTTTTTTTTTATTTTTTTATTTTTTTGTTGGTTCTTGGGTTGGTTAATGTTTCATGGTCGACTGGTTTCTTTAATAATTTTACTTTATGTTTTGTTTAATTTTTTTTGTGTGTTTAGGTTATGAAAGTAGGAAAAGGAGCTCTTGTGATCGGTAAATGAGCCAGTGCAGTTATTGTTATTTTTAGTATGAGGAAGGATATCGATAAATTCTTGATGCTTTGATTCATAGTAGTTTTATTATTAGATTCCATGATTTGACAGTTTTTCAGGAGTATTTTTTGTTTATATTCTTTTATTTCCTCAGTTACATATCTAGTTCAGATGCCTTTGTTGTTAGAAGAATGAACTGTATGTTTTTTGTCTTGTTAAACTATACCGAATGAAAAGCATTACTTTCGATTTTCTTTTCTAATTTTCATGTTGGTATAGTAATGTTGATTCGCTAGTTTTTCAGTTATGGATAACTGTGAAAAAATTGGTTCTGTAACTAAATTAGTTTGTTAACTATGGCCCTCTTGTAATGTAACTATTCTGTTTACATCTTACTCGATTTCGATTTTTCACTAATTTCACCTTGTAATCATGCAAAAGAAAAAATTCTAATCCGGTTACTGCTTCTGACAGTGAGCGGACACGCGTGCTATTGACAAGTGCAGCATATGTCCATCTAAAACACTTAGATGTCTCTAAGCACACCCGGAATCTTTCACCAGCTAGTCGGGCTATATTACTCTCTGGGCCCACAGGTACCGGGTTTTTTGTTATCATTCCATATTTCAGAATTTAAATATTTAGTGATCATCACATGTTTTGTTGCATGTACTGTAATTCTTTATTTATCTTTTTGTTTTCGCCCTGTCTAGAATTATACCAGCAAATGCTTGCTAGGGCTCTAGCACATCATTTTGAAGCAAAGTTGCTACTCTTGGATTTAGCTGACTTTTCACTTAAGGTAAAAGTGTTTTATGTGTTATCTTCTGTGCTGATTCATATTGTGTGTTTGTGTTTGAAATAATATATGTTTGCTATTTATTTATTTATTTATCTATTGTTCTTTGTATTTTCATGATCCGCAGATGCAGAGCAAGTATGGTGGCAGTGGCACAAAGAAAGATTCTGTAAGTCCTGTTATTATGCAGATACTCAGAAGAAAAAATAATTTTTTTTTCAATGTATTAGGTTTATGATTATGAGACTTTGCAATCGTACTATGAAACATCATTACATCTTATAAACTAGATTAGATTAAATCAGTGCTATTGGAGTTGAAAGTTTGCACTGATTTTCACTTTTTCCTTGTTGCAGTCTCTCCAGAGGTCGATATCAGAAGTGACATTAGAACGGATGTCCAGTTTTTTCGATTCATTCTCTGTTCTTCCATTAAGAGAGGATAAAAAATATATGTGTAAGTATTTGTTTCATCATATCTATCTATGTTAAAAACTTAAACCATAAATGCAGTGCTGACTTATTTGCCCAGTGATATTGAAATTGCTAATGGTTTTTTAGTTTAGCTTTTTCCTCATAGCAGCCAAAATTTATAAATATATATGGTTTACTTAAATTTCTCTTAATCTGTCTTACCAACTGATGCACTTGCACCAAACATTGTACAGTACGGAGGCCAAGCAGTGAGTTTGATACTGTAGTAAGGTATGCAAACTGAATTTTAGAAATGATTTCAAGAAGATGCCATTGATTTTCAATTTGATTTTTTACATTAACTGATTTTTTTTGGAGGTAGGTTAAACTTTAGAGGTAATATTTGTAATGTATCTTTGTATCTTTAAAATTTCATGCAAAACATGCAAATAGCCAATTTAGATTGATTATCTACTCGACTCAAAACTTTTGCACCCTAAAGGAATGCTGAAGGAGGCACCAATTCCTCAAAGCCTCGGAGGACTTCATCTATCTCTTCGGATATGAGTAGCATGAGCGCCCAATCGTCATCTACAAATGCAGGTTGGCATATGTGAAATTTTCTCATTTAGGATAACCTGCATTTTTTTTCTGTTTTTGTCTGTGTTTATTGTTCCATTATTATTCTAATCGTTGAATTTTAGATTTTTGGTCTGGCATTCACTTCCTGAATTTTTATTAAATGCTAAATGAAAATTTAACATCTTCGTGCCCACGGTGACTTTGTCAGCTGCTTCCAAGCGCATCAACAGCTGGTCTTTCAATGAGAAAATCTTCGTGCAGTCACTTTACAAGGTAATTAATCGCACGATCAATTGTCAATGGATAGCTCACGTCAATTAGATGAAGCCCATTCATTTACAGAGTCTTTTTATTATCCTTCTTTTGAATATTATCTAAATATACATGGAAATAAATGCAAATACTACCCTTGTAATTTACAAAAGTGAGAAAAAAAGAATGGCCACGCCTTAAAATTCATGCTTCTTATTTGAAGTATAGCTAATTCTTGTAAATGACTGTAATAATTCAGGGTGTCCATAATTTTGAAGTGTAGCTAATCATTTATTAATTTATTTTTGGATCCAAATAAGCCAGAGAGATAGTTTTCATACTTCATTCATGTGGATGGTTTGCAGCTACATTTACATATTTTTGCCATGTTAGCTACTCTGTTTCATCTCAGTTACATAAGAAACTATATGAAAGAAAAATGCCATTTTGCAGGTGTTGGTTTCTGTTTCCCAAAACAGTTGCATAATCCTCTACATCCGAGACGTGGACCGTATTTTTGTCCAATCCCCTAGGCTCCACAAACTTTTTGAAAAGATGCTCAATAAACTATCCGGATCCATTCTTGTCCTCGGGTCCCGCATGCTGGACTCCGCTGAGGATGCTGTTGAAATAGATGGAAAAATCAGTCTCTTGTTTCCTTACAACATCGAGATCAGGCCCCCAGAGGATGAGAATCATCTCATGAGCTGGAAGGCTCAGCTGGAGGAGGATATGAAGAAGATTCAGTTTCAGGACAACAAGAATCATATTGCCGAGGTACTTGCTGCAAATGATCTTGAGTGTGATGACCTGGGCTCGATTTGCCATGCGGACACAGTGGTTTTGAGTAATTATATTGAGGAAATTGTGGTCTCAGCCGTGTCCTATCATTTGATGAATAACAAGGATCCCGAGTATCGTAATGGGAAGCTCATTATATCTTCCAACAGGTAGGAAACACAGTCATTATTTTTTTTTTTCTTTTTTTCTTTTGTAAAAAGTTATTTTGATTTTTTTTTTCTGTATCTCAAAGGATAATTGCAGACTGCATCTTGAGTTTTACCTTAATTTTAAAAGACTGCCCCCTTGAGGTTTGTATTTAGTTACCTAACATATACTTCTTTGCCTTATATGTATGTCTAGAGGTTATTTGCCATGCCATAATATATTTGAACAGTTTTGTGTTCAGACCACACATCTGGCTGGTTTCTGTAGGGGATCATTACTAAAATTAGTTAGGTTTAGGTATTTATTAAAAGAAAAGCTCTTGGGGATTTTCCGAAAATTACAAAAAGGATCTTGAACCACCTCAAATGTGAGTAAAGTAATTACGATTTTGTTTTACATGCATGGAGGCAGTTTTAGATGTAATTGTTCCATTAAAACGTATAGAGCTTAGTAATACCAACTTTCAAGGGGTTATTTTTTGACTCTATTAACCTGTGGGTTCTTGTATAGTTAGCCTATAAAATGTCCATGATGTACTTTCACTGTAATGATCATCATGTCTCATCTTCAATGTAATTTCTTGCAGTTTGTCCCATGGATTAAGCATCTTTCAAGAGGGAAAAAATGGTGGAAAAGACTCGCTTAAGATGGATGAATCATTCAAGGTCTGTCCTTTCAGCTGTGATATAATTTTCCGAGCTAGCTAAAACTTTGGTAGGTCATCGCAGATTCTCTTATTGTTGTATTTCTCATTCCATCAATGTAGGATAGTGAAGGTGGACCAAAGCCTGATGCAAAGTCTGAAAACAAGACTGAGATTTCTTCTGCAAAAGCTGATGGAGAAAATGCATCCATCTCAAAGCCACCGGTAAGGCCTAGACTCGTTATTTTTAGCCATTTAATAAAGTTCGGACTTGATTTTTCATTATGTAACTAAAACACATTACTGCATACACACTGCTCGTACTTTTTTAAACCTATCTCCTTGATTTGTGTGGGATTCACTATCCTTAGAATCAATTTATCCTCCAAAATGACCTGATCATTTTGTGTTACTAACAGCAGTGTTTTGCAAGAACTGCTTCCAAAAGGAAAAAACAAAATGATAATATTCTTGTAAAAGGGGAAAGTAGCTTAGAAAATTAAGTTGGCATTGTTTATAAATAAAAACTAAAATTTAAACAAAATTGACAAGGATACATGAATTCTGATGATCCAGTTGTAAAAAAACCCGACTTGCTTCGCAAAATAAGATATTTAAACTAGAAAACCAGAAATTTGGGGAAGTGCCCCTCCTCATACATCCATATCCTGATTAAAATATGAAAATTAAGAAGCAAAAGACAACTTCTTAGCCAGAAGGAAAAACAAAGTGATCTTTTGTACAAGAAACAAAATTTTGGTCATTAAGCTGTAGAAAATAGCTATCACTTTCTCAGCGGGTAAATTCAAACTAGAACCAGAATCAGAAATCTAAATTCCCCCTACCCCATCCATACCCGTTCATACCCTGATTTAATATGCAAAGCAAGAAAGCAAAATCCAACTTTGAAGCCAAAGGTTAACAAGTAAGATAAAATCATGCTACACAGGAAGTTCTTCCGGACAATGAGTTTGAGAAGCGCATAAGGCCCGAGGTCATACCTGCCAATGAGATTGGGGTCACCTTCTCGGACATTGGGGCCCTTGACGAGATAAAGGAGTCCCTACAGGAGCTCGTGATGCTTCCCCTGCGCAGGCCTGACCTCTTCACTGGTGGGCTCCTGAAGCCGTGCCGGGGCATACTCCTATTTGGGCCTCCCGGCACGGGCAAGACCATGTTGGCCAAAGCCATTGCCAACGAGGCTGGTGCCAGCTTTATTAATGTGTCCATGTCGACCATCACGTCCAAGTGGTTCGGTGAGGATGAGAAGAACGTGCGAGCCCTCTTCACGCTGGCAGCCAAAGTGTCCCCAACTATTATATTTGTGGATGAGGTTGATAGTATGCTCGGGCAGAGGACGAGGGTCGGGGAGCACGAGGCTATGAGGAAGATCAAGAACGAATTCATGATGCATTGGGATGGGTTGCTGACAAGGCCTGGTGAGAGGATTCTGGTACTTGCCGCCACCAACCGCCCATTTGATCTTGACGAGGCCATTATCAGGCGGTTCGAGAGGAGGTTTGTTTAACTATCTTGCCCTCATACCTTTATTTTTTAGGATGGATAGTCAAGAGCTATCTTTCGAAATTATAAAAACCACTTTGAAAGTTGTTTCTCTTATATTATTAACGCACTCAATAAGGAGGAGGTTTAGCAGTTTCAAAAGGAATTTGATATTTCATTTATTTATTTTTTGTTATGAAATTTTTAAATCTAAGGACAATTCTTGTAATTAGCTTTGGACATATGCTGCACTGTCTGTTACGTTGATGTCTTTTACTTGCTGAGTTTCACAGTATTGGTTAAATGTCCACATTTTGAAGATTTAATAGTAGTTGTTATCAGGGCAATTCTCATACACTTGGACAATGGTATCACTTTAACCTCAAAAGAGTATCTGGAGATTTATATTCAGTCTCCATTAAGATATTTTTTTTTTTTTTAAATAAAATGACTGGGCTTTTAATCTTCGATGAACAGGATTATGGTCGGTCTACCCTCAGCAGAGAACAGAGAAATGATACTGAGAACACTTCTTTCCAAAGAAAAAGTAGAAGACTTGGACTTTAAAGAAGTTGCTGTCATGACTGAAGGTTATAGTGGAAGTGATTTAAAGGTTTGTTAATGTTAGTTATAAACATTATCAAAATTAAACATTATCAAAATTAAACATTTTGTAATCTTCAGTCGCTGAATTGATGCTGTAACTGTTTTGGAGCAGAATTTATGTGTGACGGCTGCTTACCGGCCAGTTCGAGAGCTTATACAGCAAGAAAGCCAGAAGGATAAGGTACCTTTTTCAATGTTTTAAAAATGGTAGCTGCTTTATTTTTTATTTTTTTATTTTTTTCCCAAATTTTCAATTGTGACGCGATGTTATATATATTGTGTAAACTGGTCACTTCTTTTCTCTGTTTTTAGGAAAAGAAGAAGAGAGGTGAAGAAGGGCAGGGCTCTGAAGACGCTTCTACCGCCAAGGAAGAAACTAAAGAGGAAAAAGTTATTTCACTGAGGCCCTTGAATATGGAAGACATGAGGCAGGCAAAGGATCAGGTAAAAAGCAACGACTAATAAGTATGTTATTAAGGAAATTCTGAATTTTGATATAAACCAACCAACATTTCAAAATTTCAAACACTCACTTGAGGTTTACTAGCTCGTGAATCTTTTCACATGAGACAACATGCATAGTTGCTTATCGGATGACGAACTATCTGAATATATGCAGTAGGACAGCAAAACTTTTACGACAATTATGTTAAAAAATTGAAAGTTCTTGAAGATTATTCATATATATGGTCCTGTAGGTTGCTGCTAGTTTTGCTTCCGAAGGGTCCATAATGGCCGAGCTGAAGCAATGGAATGAACTGTACGGTGAAGGGGGCACGAGAAAAAAGCAACAGCTATCTTATTTCCTGTAGAGCATCAAAAGTTCTCGCCATTTTCGGATGGTCGTCAGTTTCTGTTCTTTCACGAAGATGCAAAAAAAAAAAAAAAAAAAAAAATGAACTTTTGGGCCAAAAAACATTGAACCAGAATGTATAAAGTTGGTTCTGATTCTTATACGGTTTGCATTTGTCATGCAATTATTGAAGTGTTTCGGCCTGGGCAAGCATCAAGGACAAGCTTATGAAGACGATGGTGCTTTGAGATATGTATGTTGTAAGATTCTGTAGCAGCTGCATTAGTCAGAGCATCCTTGTAAATTTATGTTCAAATTAGGTGCGGAATTTGATCAATTGTTTTTTTATTTTCATTTTTTTTCTTTAGTTGTGATTGTTTTGCAGTTGTGATTGTAATGAACGGTGAGATTTGTTATTAATGTGGTTTATGGAGACAATCTCGACTTTTGAGTTAATTGAGAGTTTCTAATTTGCAGTTCGAACTTGTTGGATTGTAAAATTTTCCTTTCAGAGTTTTAGGAGTTTCATTGTTATGGATTATCTCAAACTTGGTATCAATGGAGGGTGTTCTTGATTGATTGAGGTGTCATTGCTCTTCGCATTTTGCTTTCCTTTGGTGCTTCAGTCCTCTTCTTGTGGTTACCTCTCTTGTCCCATTCCTATATAGTTAAATTGTTGTTTCTCTTTTTTGCAGATCTTAGGGTGGTTTTGCTCTTCTTTCTTTGGTCATGGATTATGAAATTATTGTGAAGCTGCAAAAGTTTGATCTTACATCGAAGGAGGAAACATGGATTACCGTATCATAGAAAGATACAATTGTGGGGGTTCATTATTGTTCGCTTAGCCTTTTAGGGAATGTTATTGGGGAAACAAAAAACTTTGGTGGTCTAAAAGAAACTTTGGGAATTATTTGGCGAACCCAAAAGCTCTTCTCTACGAGAATGATGGGTCACAATCTGTTCCAGTAAGTCTTCCAAACTGAGGATGAAGAGTGAAGGGAGCTTTCATTTGTTTAAATCTTTCATAACAAACATGGAAATGAAATAGGTTTTTTTTTTTAAAAAAAGTTATCCTTTTACTTGGGATAACATTAGGCACGACATTAAGCTCTATTCAAGCCTCAAGAGTATAATGGATAAATCTTGTTGAAATTGTAAAGCTCAACCCTATATATAGGGGTGAGATACTTGCTGCCTGAGAAGTTGAGATGGCTGCCCAAAGCTGCCTAGCCTATCCGGTCGTACAACACACACTGGCGGTGTGTCAGAGACAGTTACGGTATATGGATTATGGACCAATCAGGTCATGCCATTGTCCTCCGCCGTGAGGTTTGATTCCTCTAAAATCTCCTCAAAGGCTCTTATGCTCGACCAAGTCTAAGTCGATCTGTTGACTGCTCTTGAAAGTGGTCGATCATACAACCATTTGTACCACAGGTTCATCTTCGATTAGATCCTCCATGGACCTGAGACCGACATGTTCTCCATGTGTCGGACCCCTATAAGTTGTCTTCCAATCCAAAGGCTCTTGTTCCTGTGACGCTCGACCGTGATCACTCTGTCCAGACTTTGTTCAACCATAGCGGCTCGTTCGGTTTGTTCAACCGACTTACTGGGTCGGTTCGCTCTTCTAGGTATAGTAGCCCATATCATCTAGTCCGCCCACTATGATCGAGTCTGAATGACTCGATCTAAGAGTAGATTTTCATCCATCCACCAACTGTCATCGTGTCGGCTATCTTTCGACCAACTGACATGTTCTTTTCTGTTTTCGACCATCTTGCCTCTCGACCACCATGTCAAGTTTCAGAATTCGAAACTGCGACATGTCGCATCTGTCAGACACGTCCCTTTAGTGTCAGACTACTAATCATTACCCCGTAATGCGCGCCTCCTCGCAAGCCATACGCATTAAGTGTGTCTTCCCATCATAACCGTCAGATTTGCTTTTGATCCAACGACTATTTTTTCTCGTCTTTTCAACTAGCCCAGCAAATCGAAACCGTTGACTTCTCTTTTAATCCAATGATTACAACTTTTTTACCTCCCTCTTAGAATATCCATCATACACCTGCCCCTCAATCTGATGGTCTGCCATTGACTAACCCTTCCACTTGCCACTCCCCTCGCTTCTAAATATCTCCACTTACAGCCTTTTTCAGTGCCTCACCCTTGCAAAATTTTAAGCGTATTTGTGACCTAATTTTCTCTCACGTTCGTGCTTTCGGCAACCGGAAACATTGTACTCTGCAACTCTAGCTTTTCCAGTAAATCTCCAACATCTGACAATGAGTAAGTTTTCTGATATTTAAATTTACGCTTTTTTACTTGATTTTATGGTTTCTGACTTTCGGCCTCCCCTTAATTCCCATTGAGCTTGCCGGCGAAGAATCCTCCTTCCTCTCTAACCAAAACCCCAAAAATCTTCTCTTTCGACATTTTTCTCTTTCTCGCTTTCCAGATTCCAAAACTTCGAGCAAAAACGACCGCTTCTCCGGCAAGGACATGACTCCTCTATCCTTGCCGGCGAAGAATCCTGCCAGTTCCGTCGAGGAGGTCCTTAAACCTACACCCCTCTACATAGTTCGACCATCCTCCTCTTTGCCAACCATTTCATCTGATCGATGAATGGGACAAAGATGTTCTCGATAAAATTCCTCTTACCTGTCGCCTTCACCCCAAAATTTTGTTCTCGTCTGTCCTTACCGCACAACCTCCGCCCCTGCCGTCGGTGAGCCGCCCGACCCTTCTAAGCCTTGCAAAGCCCTCACTAGTCTGTTGCATCCTCACCATTTTGGTTTCGATTTTATGTTCATCAATTTTGGTTTCGATTTTGTATTCATAGATTTTGGTTTCGATTTTGTATTCATAGATTTTGGTTTCGATTTTGTGGGTCAACTCGTTGTGCTTGCGAAGGCGGTATTCCGCAAGCTCGACGACGTCGGTAATTTTTTCTTGGGCGGTCAAATATCAGCCTCCAAACACTCGCGGTCGGATGTGCTTGGTGATGATGGATTGCATCTTGAGTTTTGTTCTTAACGCGGGTGAGACACGAGGGAGCAGACAGAGGGCAACATTAATTGGAGAGGCAATCCAAGTTTTTAAGACGACCTACGGAGGAGGAGCGATTTCTTGCGGCAGCATTGACTGGAGAAGGGAGCGAGGGAGAAAGAGACGAGGAGGAAGGGAGATAGATAGTTGGGGTGATAGCTAGTGGTGGTAGGCATGTCAATAAAACCCATAGAGTCTGGTTACCCGTGAGTTACACGAATTTTTGGGTCAGGTAAACCCTAGATGATCGGGTTTGAGGTTGGGTTCAAGTAGAATTATGCTACCCGAATCCCGGGTCGGGTCGGGAGCAAGTATAGTAGAAAAATTCGTTACCCGACCCGTTTACCCACAAGCATTGAATCTTATAGGGCTGGCATTTGTTTACCGAAAACCAAAAATCGAACCGAACCAAACCGAACCGACGAGAAAATAAACCGAACCGTACCTAAATGCTTATAATTGTAATTGATTATTTGTTACCAAAACACTATAGGTTCGGTATCGGTTTTGAACTCATAAAGGTTCGGTAAAAGCGATACAAACCGATAAGGGTAAAAAAACTGAAAGAATGATTAGTTGTTTAAAATTTGAAATAAGGGCTCAACCTCACCTAAACCCCAAACTGACGAAAAAAATACCACTACCCATCGCCTCATTCACCTTCTCACCGGAACATTTTCAGTTTACTAGTCTCACTCCTTCTGAAGGAAGATGGTACTAAAACTGTAATCTATTTTCGTATCACCGTTACTAGATAAATTAGTTGAAGTTGTATCACAAATTATATTTCTTCCATATTCAACAATAAATTGTATTATTAGTTGCATTTAAGATAAAAACTAGAATCCAATTATATTTAAATTAACTTCTATATATTAAATTTAAGCTCTTTAATCCTTAAGTGGATCTGTGAGTCTTTTGTGTGTTTAATTGGTAAGAAGTGAGAAAAGTACCAAAAGGATGAGAAAATTAAACACTAGCAATTTTTTTTTTTTGGGTGCTCAAAACCGGTTCGGTTTCTCGATATAAAATGGATACCGTACCGAGTTTTCGGTTTTTCAGTATATGCTTATTGGTTCGGTTATCGAAGCAATACCACCCCTAGAATATTATATATATATATATATGTGTGTGTGTGTGTGTGTGTGTGTTATAAATATTATAGATTAAATCATTTATTATAATTTTATTTAATGGATAATTTTTATTTTATTTTTTATGATTTTGTTTACCAATTTTTGTTAATTGTACAATAAAAAATTTAAATGCATTATTTTTAAATATTATGTTATTAACTAGATAATAAAAAATAAATAATTATATCTCATTATTTATTCTAAACATAATATAATTTATAATATTTTTTATTTTCAAACTTAGTTAATAAATTGTTCGTTACATTATAATTAATTATGAAAGTATTTTATTATATTTTTTCACATGAAGCGGGTTGGGTCGGGTAAATCTGAAATTTAAGAAATCAGGTTACCCGCGTAGCCGACGAAAATCCGCTAACCTGTCGGGTAAAACCTGACCCAAACCCAAAGATCACTAGTCGGGGTAATGGGTCGGGTTTTGGTATGGTAAATTATATACTGGTTTTCGTCGCTTACTCGACGGAAACCCGCAGTGTAAAACTCGACTCGAACCCGAAGATCCCTGGTCGGGTAACGGGTCGGGTTTGGGTATGTTAAATTATATGCGGGTCGGGTTCGTGTTTGCCAAAACCTGCACCCAACCCGACCACTTACATCTAGAGATGTTAAACGGTCCTTGGCCCGACGGGCCGGCCCGTTTAGCCCGAAGAAAAATAGGGTTATGGCCTTTTTTTAGTAGCTCGTTTAAATCAGGGCATTTTAGGCCCGAACCGTTTAAACCGAAGCCCGATAGGGCTAGCCCGAAGCCCGCTAGGGCTAGCCCGTTTAATTTGTATATTACAACTTCACTATTCTACTTTATATGTAACTA